TTCTTCAGTGCTGAATCCACAGAATATTGACACAAAGATGTATGTTCCATCTTAATTAGAACTAATTAATATGCTTCGGCTCTCGGTCTTTCTGTGTGGGTGAATCTGCAAAAACACTGAAATCCTGGTGCTGGAGCCTCAGCACAGCCTGGGCTCCCCAGCCTGGCCCCTCAGGCTGGGGCTGAGTCCCTGCTTAGGTCCCATGGCAGTGACCTCATGGTCCTGGATCCCAGAGCTGCCGTGCCATTTCTCCATCCATCCATCCATCCATCCATCCATCCATCCATCCATCCATCCGTCTATCCATCCATCATCCATCCATCCATCCATCTATCATCCATCCATCCATCCATCCATCCATCATCCATCCATCCATCCATCCATCCATCTATCATCCATCCATCCATCCATCCATCCATCCATCCATCCGTCTATCCATCCATCATCCATCCATCCATCCATCCATCCATCCATCCATCCATCATCCATCCCTCATCCATCCGTCCATCCATTCATCCATCCATCCATCATCCATCCATCCATCCATCCATCCATCCATCCATCATCCATCCATCCATCATCCATCCATCCATCCCTCATCCATCCATCCATCATCCATCCATCCATCCATCCATCCATCCGTCCATCATCCATCCATCCATCCATCCATCCATCCATCATCCATCCATCCATCCATCCATCATCCATCCATCCATCCATCCATCATCCATCCATCATCCATCCATCCATCCATCCATCATCCATCCATCCATCCATCCATCCATCCATCATCCATCCATCCATCCATCCATCCATCCATCATCCATCCATACATCCATCCATCCATCATCCATCCATCCATCCATCATCCATCCATCCATCCATCCATCATCCATCCACCCATCCATCATCCATCCATCCATCCATCCATCATCCATCCATCATCCATCCATCATCCATCCATCCATCCATCCATCCATCCATCCATCCATCCATCATCCATCCATCATCCATCCATCCATCATCCATCCACCCATCCCTCATCCATCCATCCACCCATCCCTCATCCATCCATCCATCCATCCATCCATCCATCCATCCATCCATCCATCATTCAGAGAAGATAGCGCCTCTTAGTCCACGGCACAGCAGTCCCTTCCTCCAGGCAGCAGGACAGGAGCTCGGTGTTCTCTGAAATACCAAGGGATCTAGCCCAGGTTTAGCCAGGGAAGGTGCTGGGGCTGTATCCGCTGCTCGAGTTTGTGCTGTCCGTGGCAGGACCTCGAGCCAGGTCGGAAAGTCTCGATTTCCAAACTTTCAGTCGCTCCTCCCTGTGTTCCCCACCCCGAGGAAGGGGAGGGATAATGCAGAGCCTGGTGTGGAATGCCCCAGGAGGCAGTGCTGGGGTCCGTCGGGTGGGGACCTCAGCGCTGGGGGCATCAGTGGTGGGGTGCACCATGGTGAGGACCTCCATGGTGGGGTCCACAAGGAGAGGACTTCCATGGTGGGGTCCACAAGGTGGGGACTGCAGTGGTGGAGTCTATGACGTGGGGACCTCAATGCTGGCGTCCACGAGGTGGGGACCTCAGTGCTGGGGTCCGTGAGGTGGGGACTTTCATGATGGGATGCACAAGGTGAGGACCTCCGTGGTGGGATCCATGAGGAGGGGACCTCAATGCTAGGGGTCGACAAGGAGGGGACCTCATTGGTGGGATCCACGAGGTGGGGACATCAGTGCTGGGGTGCACAAGGTGGGGACCCCAATGGGGGGATCCATCAGGTGGGCACCTCAGTGGTGGGGTCCATGACGTTGGGGGCCTCCATGTTGGGGTGTGTGAGGTGGGAACCTCCATGGTGGGGTGCACCAGGTGGCGACCTCAGTGCTGGGGTCCATGAGATGGGGACCTCCATGCTGGGGTGCACAAGGAGGGGACTTCCATGGTGGGGTGCACAAGGTGGGGACCTCAATACTGTTCCCACAAAATGGGGACCTCAGTGGTGGGGTCCGTGAGGTGGGGACTCTCATGATGGGGTGTATGAGGTGGAGACATCAGTGCTGGGGTCCACAAGGTGGGGACCTCAGTGGTGGGGTCCATGGGGTGGGGACCCCAATGGTGGGGACCTCCATGATGGAGTCCATGAGGTGGGGACCGCCATGGTGGGGTCCAGCCCCGAGGCCCACGAGTGGGGGACGCAGAGCAGCTGCAGGTTCCTCCTCTCCGTGGGTCCTTCCTGGACGTGCTGGGGCAATCCAAGGTTTCCCAGCAGATGGAAGCAGGGAGATGGCAGTCAGACCCGGGGTGAGGGCAGCAGGAGAGGGGAGCATTAATCACGGTGAGGATGAACCACCACCACCAGGAGCCTCACATGGCAGCAGGAAGGTCGCAGATGTGTCCATTTGTTGAGTCTTTGCAGGGAATTTTCTCCGAGACGTGAGGGGAGGAAAATGTTTGGGTTGTTGTGACTTTGAGATATTTGCAGGGTATTGCTCATGCATCCTGCATGGTGCAGACACCCCCGAGAACTCGGATCCTCCTTGCTGTCAGGGAGGAGAAACTCATGAGCAGCGTCACATCCACCAGGAGGATGGCACTCCTTCCCCAGGAGAGGGAAGAGATGGCTCCAGATAAGAACTGCCCGGGATTGCTACTCTCAGGGTTTATTTTCCTGGGATTCTCCAGTAAACACCATCGCCTCCATTGCTGGGAATAATTGCAGTAGCTGAGAAGTGTTGGTTTGATGGGATAATGCCTGCGGGCTTTTGTGCTGGTTCTGATTGAGCAGCATTAGCAGAGATGCAACAGCATTAAAGGAAACTTCTCAGCTAATCAGTCTCCGTTACCGTAAGGAGGCCAAAATTAAAACGTTCTTTTAAGAGCAAGCCCTTCATGATTAAAAGCTTGGTGACTCGCACATTTGGGAGCTGGCACAAACCCTGTGCTGGGGGAAGAGGAGGAGTGTGATCAGCCTCGTGGTGTTTGTGGTGGGCACTGCTCTCGTGTTCAGGGGAAGAGATGCATCCTACAGCATCCCAGGAGATGCTGCACAGCACAAGTCCAGCTACAGTGCAGCTGAAAATGATCTCTGGAACTGAATCAGCAGGGATCAAGCCCTCAAATACGCTTTTATGTGAACTGTGTTCACACTGTCTTTGCATTTTTACATTCTCCAAATGCTTTGTGGCATTTAAATGCAATTGGGCTTTATAATTTAATTTTATTTTGCTGCTCCTGCTGCATTTCCATCTAACTCCTTCTGTTAATGCGTTATATTTAATATAGGAAAGGCAGCTTATGAATATTCCAACGTTATCCTGGTGCAATAACCATCCATGCCCAGCCCCAGTGTGGCAGGGAGGGGTCCCTGGAGGTGCCAGGGTCATTCCCAGGCTGCTGGGACACAGCAGGGCCGTGAGCACCTGGCTCTGGTGACAAATCTGCTGGTGGGCTCAGGAACAGGAGGGCCCTGCTTCAGGAAGGTGATGGCCTTTGTCCCACAGATAATGCTGAGAGCTTCTGTGGAACCAGGTAAAGCATCCCAAATGACATCCCCAGTGTGACAGAGTGGGATGGGGCGAGGAACTGCCCCTCACCATCCTCAGTGTGAGCACAGTGGGATGGGGTGAGGAGCTGCCCTTCATCATCCTCACTGCCAGCACAGTGGCACTGGGGCAAGGAGCTGCCCTTCATCATCCTCAGTGTGAGCACAGTGGCACTGGGGCAAGGAGCTGCCCTTCATCATCCTCAGTGTGAGCACAGTGGGATGGGGTGAGGAGCTGCCCTTCATCATCCTCACTGCCAGCACAGTGGCACTGGGGCAAGGAGCTGCCCTTCATCATCCTCAGTGTGAGCACAGTGGGATGGGGTGAGGAGCTGCCCTTCATCATCCTCACTGGGATGGGGTGAGGAGCTGCCCTGGCCATGCTAGCCCCCAGCAGCCTGTGACAAGGGAGGGAGATGATTTGTTGGACATGGCTCAGGATGATGCAGGAAGAGCAGGGTTTCCCATCCCTGCCTCAGCTAGGTGCTCCCAGAGGGGCTTCCCCACGTTTCCCAAGGGATCCTGTTTTAGGAGCCTTGGCTGGGAGCCCTTGGCAGCTCTGCTCCCCAAGCACACAGCCGCTGGTGCTGGAGGCTTCCCTTCCACGCGGTGCCAGCAATCCTCCCTGACCCTTGTGTTCTCCTGGGCAAGGTCTCTCGTGAAGGGGGACTGGGATTTGCGGGATACATCCAAGCCCTCCAGCAGTGACCTGGAGTGACTCGGGCAGGTGTGCTCCGCAGGTCTGTGCTGCCGGAGCCATCTGTCCTTGGCAGGCGGTGCTGCAGTACCAGGGTGACAAACAGCGAGTGCCCTGCAGTACCAGGGTGACAAACAGCGAGTGCCCTGCAATACCCAGGGTGACAAACAGCGAGTGCCCTGCAATACCCAGGGTGACAAACAGCGAGTGCCCTGCAATACCCAGGGTGACAAACAGCGAGTGCCCTGCCTGGCAGAGCCCTGGGGTGCCTCTATCCCCCTGGTGTGGCCCAGGTCCCTGTTTCCTGAGGGGCAGGCAGCCCCAGCTGGCCACGGCAGCAGGAGGGCATGGGGGGCAGGATTGCCTGGGTGGGGCTGCAGCGGGGATGGACCAGGACAGCCAGAGGAGCTCTGCTGCCTGTTCCTGTCCTGACCCCTCTCTCTGCTGCCTGTTCCTGTCCTGAGCCCTCCCTGTTGCCTGTCCCTGTCCTGATCCCTGTCCCTGCTCAGGCTGCAGGAGCTCTGCTGCCTGTTCCTGTCCTGAGCCCTGTCTCTGCTGCCTCTTCCTGTCCTGAGCCTTCTCCATTTCCTCTTCCTGTCCTGAACCCTCTCTGCTGCCTATTCCTGTCCTGATCCCTGTCTGCTCACACTGGAGGAGCTCTGTTCCTGTCCTCTTCCCTGTCCTGATCCCTGTCCCTGCCCGGGCTGAAGGAGCTCTGTTCCTGTCCTCTTCCCTGTCCTGATCCCTGTCCCTGCCGTTCCAGGGGTACCTCTCCGAAGGCCTGGTGACCAAGTGGTACCGCTCCCCGCGCCTCCTCCTGTCTCCCAACAACTACACCAAAGCCATCGACATGTGGGCAGCCGGCTGCATCCTGGCCGAGATGCTGACCGGGAGGATGCTCTTCGCTGGTAGGTTTCTGTCTCACGTTGATTCCCTGTTCTCTTTCCCCTTTCCTTGCTACCCATTCCCAGGCATTCTAGCCCGGCCGAGGGAACTCCCCTGTGTGAGGAGGGGAGATGCTGGTGCCCTGTCCCAGGAGGTTTGTGCTCCATGCCGTGGATTTGGATCGTGATTGCTGTCTCCAAGCTGTTTTTTTCCTTTGAGGGAGGACATCTGGATGCCACCACTCATTTTGAGGATTTACCTGTAAGCACGAATTGACGCTGCAAAGGTGGAGTGCAAGAGGAGAAGACAACAAAGGCACAGCAAGGAGTTATCAGTGCAGATTCGAAGCTGAGCTCTGACGTTATTGAGAAGAAAATATGTATTTAATTGTCCCAAAAATGCTGTGTTGGGAGGAAAGCTGTGCTGATTCCCAAGCTGGGACATGGAGCCATTCCCTGCAGGAGGAGCAACTGCCCTGTGGCTGCTGCAGGAGCTGCTTCCCTGGCAATGCAGCACAGCACAGCCCAGCACAGCACAGCCCAGCACAGCTCCCCTGGGCTGTCTCTCGTGCCTGTCTGTGCTCTGGGTGATGAGGTTTAACGCGTTTGGTGAGCAGCTGCTCGCAGAGTTGTGTAAATAAATAACCAGCCCCGTTAATAATGGAGCAGGAGGAGGAGGTTTCCCTCTCGGGTATCTCAGCACCACTGAGCTCCACAGCCTCGGCTGCAGCTGCTCTTCCATAATTCTTTTGTGGAAGCTTAAAAATAAGCAGTCAGTACCCTTAGGAGGAGATCATTTTAATTGCCTCCCTTTCCTTCCTTATTTTCTTCCTCAATTTCTCCAAAGCTTTCCAGTCCAGAGGTTTCAGCTGTGAAAATTGTCCCTTTAACCTGTCTGCTCCTGGTGCTTCCTTGGGATATATTCTAGGGGCAGGGCACTGTCTGATCTTGCTGGGAGCTGCTGCAGTCTCTCACTCCTCAGGTCACACAGCAAAACAAGAGCTGCCTGCTGTGCTGCCCTGCCCACCCAGCACAGCTCCCGAGCATTTCTGGCTCTTCACGCTGTGCTTGACCCCTCTCTCAGCCCCAGCCAGCGTTTCCTTTTGCTCTCTGTGGATCCCAGGGTATAAGTGACGTTGCCTGGCACCACTGAGGTCTCCAAGGTGGTGCTTTAAGCTCGTTTTGTGGTAAGGCAGGGGCAGAGTAGCCCTGGGATGGGATGGGATGGGATGGGATGGGATGGGATGGGATGGGATGGGATGGGATGGGATGGGATGGATGTGTCCTCTGCCTGGGTGAGCTGAGCAGAGCAGCCACACAGGAACCTCCCCGGGCTGGATCCTGAGAGCGCCCAGCAGGTGCAGACCAGAGGTGATTAATTTGAGGTGATTAATTTGAGGTGATTTGAGGTGATTTGGTGACCAGAGGAGGGGTTTGGCACACCACGGGCTGGGCACACGCTGCGAGCATCCCTTGTTCTCTGCCTCCCAGCCTGGTGAAATCTCTTAATAATCCCCAGGGTGCTTGGTTAGTGTGTGGGGATCAAAACCAAGCTCAAAATACCAGCTCCTTTTGGGTGGCTTTGAAGATATGTCATTGTCCTGGGAGGCTGTGGCCCCCTGCCCCTTTTTCCTGCCTCCTCCCGTGCCAGCAGAGCAGGCAGAGCAGGGCTGGCACAGGCAGGGTGCCCTGGCGTCCTTTATCTGCTGGAGGAGAGCAAAGCCCAGCCCCAGAACAGATGAAACTCACAAACACCAAAAGGATTTGCCTTTGCTGCAGCTCTGCTCCTCTTGGCTGAGAGAAGGAGCTCAGCTCAGCCAGATGCAGCCTCTGTCCCTGCAGGATGAGAGCTCCCAAAGCTGCAGCCTCCCTCCCTGTGAAAAACTCCAGTCACTTGTTTTTAGAATTTTAAATGTTTAATATTAATCAAACGGTTATAAAATAGTAATATAATTAGAGTAATAATAATTTGGACAATTTGAATTAGGACAATATGAGACAATAGAGACAAAGAGTTACGGATGTCTGGGTACCTTTTCTGGGCAGCACCAGCCCGAAAAAGGACACACGGTTAACAGAGGATTAACGCTTAAAAGCAACAGCCTGTTGCATATTCATACACTTCATACATGATGCATAAATTCCATTCAAACACAGGATTTTGTCTGGTTAGTGTTAACTTCTTCCTCTTAATCATAACAGCACCTTCGAGGCAGGAAGAAGTTCGTTTCTTCTGATAAGAGAGCAATGGATTCTTTTTCTATGAAAGATTGAGGTGTCCTGGGGCTGCTATCTGCTGTGAGTGCCTCATTCCTGTAATAGAAAAAAAAAATATCCCACTTACATAGTTCTTATTTTAACTACAAAAGTTACCTTTTAGCTACAAGACTGCACTTATCATATTATTAAAATGTTAATACAGCACTACTAATCAATATATAAAAATACATATGGTAAATACCTGCGTAGAGCCATACAATGTGCATTTTTCACACTCCCTGCAGGGTGAGCCCTGCACAGAGCCCTGGGTGGGCAGAAATGAGAAATGAGAGAAACGAGAGCAGTGTGGTTCAGAGGAAGCTCCATCCATGCAGCAGCGCCTTGCCCTGGGTAAATGGTTTCTAGAGAGTGCAGTTTAAATTGAGTGCTTAGCATAAATCAATATAATTAACTCGGCAGTCTATCCGGGGTGCTTGAGCAAGGCAGGTAAGTGAAGGTGATTGGTGGTTCGGGGTAGATGTCGCACACTGCTTCCATTCTCCCACAGGGATTTTCTGGCTGTGCCACAGCTCAGGGAGAGCAGGACATGCCCAGCAGCTGGAGCCTGGATTGCAGGCCTGGCAGAGCTCCCCTGCAGCAGCAGCAGCAGCACAGAAAATGGGGAAAAGTGTCCCTGGCTGAGCAGCTGCAGCTCCCTCCAGTGTCCCTTCCACCCAAAGCAGCAGCAGTGGAAGCAGCAGTAATGGGGAAAGGGGAGAAAAAAGGAGAAAAAAGGAGAAAAAAGGAGGGAAAAGGATGAAAAAGGAAAAGAGATCTGTCCTTGCAGATCTCCGTGGGGTTCACCAGTGGGGCTGTGCTGTGGCCAAGAGCCAGAGATGGCACAGGGGCTTTTCCCGTGGGATCAGGGCTCACTGCCAGGGCTTGGGTGCTCCCTGGAGAAGGCTCTCTTCTCCAAGATGTGGTGCAGAGCTCCTCGTTCTCTCCCTGGGTAACCACAGCCTGCTGCGTTTATTCTGCCCCTGATTCGTGTTCTCCTTTTCAGGAGTTAATACCTTCAGAAAAAGGTCCCTGGGAATTCCATAAATAGAGGATAATGGAAGAGAATGGGGTTTCTCGGGAGCCATAATTCAAGGCTTCCAGCGCTGCATTAGCAGCTCCTTTGTGTGACTGAACACGGTGTCTCTTGGCTGCCAGGTATCTTCGGCTGGGGCTGCACTGAGGGAAAAGCCGCAGAGGCTTTGTGACTTTTATCACCCTGTAATTTGGATCACAGCTGGGGAATTAGCCTGGCTAACAAGGTGCTCATTTCCTGCTAGATATCTTCAGTTTCCCCTGGAGTCACGCTGCGAATCTCTGAGTGACCTAAAATTAGTCCTTGTGTAGGAAAGTGGATTAATCTGCCAGGACTGACAGGGCAAGGGCGTCCCTGCCTTTGTCCCCTTGCTCTGCCTCGCTGACTGAGCGGCTGTGTGTGGTGGTGGTGGCCAGCTGGGCTCTGTCAGCATCACTTGGGGCTGCTGAGGTCGCTGCTGTGCCACTGAGCTGTGCCATGTGGCCTGGCAGTGGCCGTGGCCGCCGCTCTGGGCTGGATGGGAGAGAGTCTGCCAACATCACTGACTGTCCCCAGGGGGCTGTGCTGGGGTCAGCGCTGTGTGTGCTGCTCTTGTTGGGCCCCCTGATGGGGGAAAACCTCCTTTCAACAACTCTGTGCCAGGATTGAGAGACTTTTTTGGGTCTTCATGTTGCTATTAATTGTTATCTTATCAGAAGTCCAACACGCCGTCTGCACCAGACTTAGCGTGCAAGAAAGTGCAGCAAAAATGGTCACAAGATGTGTAGTTTCAAGGTCTTCTAAAGCTGTTTTATCCAATTAACTCTTAAAACGTGCTTTATTTCCACCTTTCCACCATTACTAATCCTTTGTCTGTCCATGTAACCTCTGCACTGAGGCTTCCCCACCCAATCACCCTGTGCCACCAACACTGCAGAAGAATGAGGAGGAGGAGGAGGAGGAGGAGGAGGAGGAGGAGGAGGAGGAGGAGAACAACAAGAAGAAGATCAAGAAGAACAAGAAGAACAAGAACAACAACAACAAGAATAAGAATAAGAAGCAGCCCAGACAACAGCCAAGATCCTCCATCTTGCCTCCTATCTACCTCTATATTAAAACCCCAAAACTCTAAATTTCTCACCCTGTGACAAACTACACTGTTCTCTATTGTCCATTTCACACACTTGTGGGCTCCAATCCGTCCCAAAGCCTTGGAAGCCCTCTCCATGGGCGAAGGTTAAAGGCAGTATTTCCCTGGGGGTCAGGACCCCTCAGAGCAGGCAGGGAAATATTCCCAGTGCCCTGGGTTCCAGCAAGCTCCATGGGTGTGAGTCTGGAAAACTCGTGCTGACCCACAGGAGCTCTGGGCTGTGGAGAGGGGGCCCTGCAAACGCCAGGGGACCTCCACAAGAACAGCGTTGGCTCAGGGCAATCAGTCCCCATGTCATGAGAGAGGCCTTCCCTCCCTCCCTGCTGGCTGATCAGCAGTGCTGCCCATCCGTGGGACTGACTCTCCTTGTGGATGGGATGGGCACTGGTCACCACTGAAGCAGCCTGAAATCCACGGCTGGGCCAGCAGGGGCTTGGTAGCCTGATGTAGTCAACCTAGGACACCTGAAAATCCTCATTGTTTTGGCTGCCCCAGGCTGCTCCATGCTGGTCCTGCCTCTGAGGATGGGGCATTTCTGACCATTCCTAACCATTTCCATTTTCTAACTATTCCTGGCAGGCAGAAATCCAGCGGTGCAGCTCCATATTCCCACCAGGCTCCTCTGCCCTTGCAGGAGGCTGGAAATCCCCACGGATGTCACCTCTTGGTGGCATCCAGGAGAGCCTGGAGAGTGGGAATAGCTCTCACTGATGGGGTGCTCTGTTTGGCTGTGCTGCTGCTCTCCTCCCAGTGATGGGCAGCCAGCCCTGAGCGGGGCTTGAGGGTGTACAGATAAATGTGTCCTGAAGGAAAAGGACTGAAAACAAAATGGCACATGGCATTGTCACCACCAGAGTTGTGACTTGGTGCCTAGCAGCTGCTGGAATATGGTCAGAAAACACCTTTCCTCCTGCATTCCTTTAGAGGTGGAGCTGGGGGACCCCTGGGGCTGGCAATACCCCACGCCCACCCCAGTTTAACTCCTGTGTCTGGTCTCACTGCTCTCTCCTCCTTCTCCCTGCTCAGGGGGCCACGAGCTGGAGCAGATGCAGCTGATCCTGGAGACCATCCCCGTGATCCACCAGGAGGACAAGGAGGAGCTGCTGAAGGTGATGCCCATGTTCATCAACAGCACGTGGGAGGTGCGGAAGCCGCTGCGCAAGCTGCTGCCCGAGGTGGACAGTGAAGGTACCGTGGTGCCCCCGCGGCTTCCCCAGCTGCTGTGTGCCCCAAAACTGTCACAGTGTGTGTTAGTCCTGGCTAGGTGATACAGGGACGTGACAGACCCCCCTTTTGAGCTCTGCAGAATCCCAGCTACCAGGGAGGTTCACAGAAACCAGCACAGAAACAAAATCTGCAGCACAGGCCAGGGGTGGAACTGGGGTAACTTTATTTGATGGTCAAACTCCCCAATTCCAGGGTTCCAGGCCCTGAACTGAGGGAAAATAACAGTTTATAAACAGGAGGAGGTCTCAGGGGAGGATGCAATCTCTAGCTAATCAGGAGAGCTGGGGGTGGAACACAAGACAGGGAATACAATGCGCAAGCCAATGGAGGATTTCAAGGGAAGGGAACAGCTTGGGACAGGAGGGGTTAACAACTGGATATGGAAGAGGGTTTGAAACTTGGCAGGGAGTAACTAGGTAACAAACAGAGAAACCACACTTAACTAAACTGAATAACCAAAAAGCAAGTCTGTGCCACACCAAAGACAGGGGGAGAAAAGTACAGAGGGATTAGGAAACCAGAATAAACAGTAAACATGCCAAATAAAACCACACACTACACCAGCCGTGTCCCCGGAGCTGCTTCTAGGAGTGCCAGGGTTGCTGTCCTGCAAGGCCCAGGGCCTGAGCTCTGGGGAGGGGGATGCACACCCCTGGGGGTCCCGGCTGTAGCTCAGATGTCCCCAGCGCTGTCCCCTCACAGGCAGCCTGTCCCCGGGCCCTGCTGCAGGACAGGGCTGTGATGCTGTGGCTCGCTCACAGGTGTCTCCTAAGGGTGAAACACACTTCCAGGGCCCTTTGGAGTGCATCCCACGTGTCTCCCTGAGCTGTGAGCGAGGGCTCGGCCCAGAGGCTCTTTCCCAGTCTGCAGCTGTGCAGCCCAGCGAGGGACAGGCTCTTCCTCACAAACACCCCACTCCTGAGATAGGTGTTACAGACAGGAATATGAATCAGTGCTTCCCTGAGCTCCTTCTGAGGGTTAAACCAGGCCTGCTTTGGGAAGAGCTCAGGAGCAGGCTCAGCTCACCTTCTGGAGTGACTCTTCATGTGAGAGGCTCAGCCCAGAGGCTCTTTCCCAGCCCCATCTGTTCCCTCACTGTGCCCCTGGCCTGAGCACAGCTGTGCAACTGCAGGACAGGCTCTTCCTCACAAACACCCCACTCCTGAGATAGGTGTTACAGACAGGAATATGAATCAGTGCTCCCTTGAGCTCCCTCTGAGGGCTAAACCAGGCCTGCTTTGGGAAGAGCTCAGGAGCAGGCTCAGCTCACCTTCTGGAGTGACTCTTTGTGTGAGAGGTGCCGTCCCTGGCTCAGCCCAGAGGCTCTTTCCCAGCCCCATCTGTTCCCTCTCTGTGCCTCTGGCCTGAGCACAGCTGTGCAACTGCAGGACAGGGTTTCCTTCACAAACACCCCACTCCTGAGATGGGTGTTACAGACAGGAACATCAACCACTGCTCTCCTGAGCTCCTTCTGAGATTTAAAACAGGGTTAAACCAGGCCTGCTTTTGGGAAGAGGTCAGGAGCAGGCTCATCTCACGTTCAGGAGTGACTCTCCATGTGAGAGGTGCCGAGCCTGGCCTTGGGGACACAATATCCATGGGCCCAGGGCTGTGTCAGCCTCCAGTGAGCAGCAGCAGATTTATTCCCTGCCGTGGCTGCAGGAGGAAAGGTCAGCCCTGCCCCTCACATTATTCACTGTCATTTCCCTGCCTCTCTGACCTGTGCTATATCACAATATATAACCCATAATGGGTTTTTGTGACCTTACAGAGCAATTGACTCCTTCCTGCTTAATTAGTCTGAGCCATGAGGTAATCTCACGGGCGACAGTCAGAAATTGGTTAATGTTTGAGCTCTGGGGCAGCACGTGTGGCTGTCCTTCCTGCTGAGGGGTTCTACCCCTACAGAAACTATCCCATTCACACAATTGCACCTTCAGTGGGGATGTTCCTGGAGGTTTCAGTACGAAGCTGTATCTGAAGAAAGGCATTATTCCTGTTTTTGTTGCCTGAACTCAAAGGGACTTTCCCATGAAAGGATCAACTGGATAAGCAACAACTTCAGTGGCAGGATTTTACCTTTCCACATAACCTCAGTAAATGGAATCATCAAAGCAATCATAGCCAGCCCTCTACGTTTAGGTTTAATTGCACTTAAATTCTTCCCTGTCATCACAGAAAGAGTTCACGCACCACATTCCTTCTAAAATTACTTTAGCCACTCAGAATTCTTCAAACATTAATGGGTAAAATAATTTCATGGCACCGGTCACACCAAAGGCTTTTAAAAGTTGCAGTAAATCTAATCCACTCCAGTGGGGCCTAAGAGGTGAAATCAGCTGTCTGAAACACAGAGTGCTTGTCAAGTGTATCTGAGGGTGTGGAGTCAGATCCCAGCACCTTCCAAAGGCCTTTTTGGGGTGGTATCTCAGCTCTGTGCTGGTTTGGGGTGCCAGCTCTGTGCTGGGATCTCAGCTCTGTGCTGGGCTGGGATCTCAGCTCTGGGCTGGAATCTCAGCTCTGTGCTGTGCTGGGATCTCAGCTCTGTGCTGTGCTGGGATCTCAGCTCTGTGCTGGAATCTCAGCTCTGTGCTGGGATCTCAGCTCTGTGCTGGGATCTCAGCTCTGTGCTGGGCTGGGATGCGATCCCAGCTCTGTGCTGAGATCTGGGGCTGTAGCTCTGTGTGTGTGACCCCTGTGCTGTCCTGCACAGCTCTGAGGGTGCTCTCGCAGTCATTCCCTGGCCATGCTGCAGGAGGTGACAGGAGGTGACACCTGAGGCTGCAGGGCTGCTCCCCTGCAAGCCCACAGCTCCATGAGGGGACCCCAGCAAGGACAGAAGTGCCTGGCTTGGGTCGACCTGAGGTGGCCTTTAACTCATCCCTTGCTCCAGGGGGATTTGCTGGGTGGGCTCCGTGAGGCTTGTCCTGACAAGGGGGCTATTTCTGCTTTTGAAGAATGGTGAGCTTGTGTATCTCTGCCTCACAGCCATTGATTTTCTGGAGAAAATTCTGACATTTAACCCCATGGACCGGCTGACGGCTGAGATGGGCCTGCAGCACCCCTACATGAGCCCCTACTCCTGCCCCGAGGACGAGCCGGTGTCGCAGCACCCGTTCCGCATCGAGGACGAGATCGATGACATCCTGCTCATGGAGGCCAACCAGAGCCAGATGTCCAACTGGGACAGGTACCACGGCTGGGCTGGGCTGCCGAGGCCTTTTGGAACTTGGGGTTTATTGCAAAGGGCCTGGGTGCAGGGCCCTGCTGGGATTTGGGGTTCATTGCAAAGGGCCTGGGTGCAGGGCCCTGCTGGGATTTGGGGTTTATTGCACAGGGCCTGGGTGCAGGGCCCTGCTGGGATTTGGGGTTCATTGCACAGGGCCTGGGTGCAGGGCCCTGCTGGGATTTGGGGTTTATTGCAAAGGGCCTGGGTGCAGGGCCCTGCTGGGATTTGGGGTTCATTGCAAAGGGCCTGGGTGCAGGGCCCTGCTGGGATTTGGGGTTTATTGCAAAGGGCCTGGGTGCAGGGCCCTGCTGGGATTTGGGGTTATTGCAAAGGGCCTGGGTGCAGGGCCCTGCTGGGATTTGGGGTTTATTGCAGAGGGCCTGGGTGCAGGGCCCTGCTGGGATTTGGGGTTTATTGCAAAGGGCCTGGGTGCAGGGCCCTGCTGGGATATGGGGTTTATTGCACAGGGCCTGGGTGCAGGGCCCTGCTGGGATTTGGGGTTCATTGCACAGGGCCTGGGTGCAGGGCCCTGCTGGGATTTGGGGTTTATTGCACAGGGCCTGGGTGCAGGGCCCTGCTGGGATTTGGGGTTCATTGCACAGGGCCTGGGTGCAGGGCCCTGCTGGGATTTGGGGTTCATTGCAAAGGGCCTGGGTGCAGGGCCCTGCTGGGATTTGGGGTTTATTGCAAAGGGCTTGGGTGCAGGGGCCTGCTGGGATTTGGGGTTCATTGCAAAGGGCCTGGGTGCAGGGCCCTGCTGGGATTTGGGGTTCATTGCAAAGGGCCTGGGTGCAGGGCCCTGCTGGGATTTGGGGTTTATTGCAAAGGGCCTGGGTGCAGGGCCCTGCTGGGATTTGGGGTTCATTGCACAGGGCCTGGGTGCAGGGCCCTGCTGGGATTTGGGGTTCATTGCACAGGGCCTGGGTGCAGGGCCCTGCTGGGATTTGGGGTTCATTGCAAAGGGCCTGGGTGCAGGGCCCTGCTGGGATTTGGGGTTCATTGCAAAGGGCCTGGGTGCAGGGCCCTGCTGGGATTTAGGGTTTATTGCAAAGGGCCTGGGTGCCGGGCCCTGCTGGGATTTGGGGTTTATTGCAAAGGGCCTGGGTGCAGGGCCCTGCTGGGATTTGGGGTTTATTGCAAAGGGCCTGGGTGCAGGGCCCTGCTGGGAGCTGCAGCCACAGCTCAGAGCAGATCTGAGAGAAGTAAAGAGAGTGATAAAGAGGATGAGAGAGAGAGGATAAGAGGATAAGAGAGTAAGAGAGTGAGGTTCCCGTTACAATACAATAAATCATCTTCTGTGTGGAATATTCTGATTCTCACTAACCAATCTAGCACAAGATACAAATCCTATAGCATTTCCATACAGCCTATAGGAATTACATCACCACACTGTGTTACACTTTAAACCCTAAAAACTCCTCTTTGGGCCCCTTCTGCCAAGCTGTAGGGTCTGCTCTGACCCTTGGGCCTGTCTGCAAGCAGAGGGTGTTGTTCCATCAAAAGGGGATTACCTTCAGCTGGCCACACCATTGTTTTCCCATTGTTCAGTAAATGAGGGATCTCAAAGCTTGATTTCATTTCAATCTCACTTACAGTTTCCATATTCTCAAAATCTTTTGCCAAGCAATCATATCTATAAGGTTTTCATGTTTCACCTTCCCCAATACCCCTGGCATGGCTGGGTTCCACCATGCCTGTTCAGACCCCTGAAAGATGCCTGCTTTTCCCTCTTTGTGCCATGCTGTAACTCCAGCCCAAGCTGGTGCCTCGCTGAAGCTGCCCAGAGGCTCCTCCTGGCTTCCACAGGGACCAGAAGCTGAGCCTGCACATCCCTGTACATCACTGAGTGCCTTTCTGCTCTTGGTTTTCAGCCTAGGTTGTCTTCATGTGGGTCTAAGTGGCTCTGCAGCCCCTTCCTCTGCCCTCTGTCCCTGTAGTACAGGTACAAAATAATGTAATTCTTGTACCTTTTGGGCACAGGGCCTGATTTGGAGTTCTATATTCACCACTTTTCAAGGTGCATCACCCCGGAGGACCTTGTAAAAAGCCCTGAGTTGAGCTGACGTTTAAATGGTTTGCTGGAAGCTGCACTGGAAGTTTAGAACAGCTCCAAGCCTTGAGCTGAGGTCTTTCACGTTCCAGGTGATTACCCCAGTCACTGGCCAGTCCCAGCACTGGGGCAGGCAGGACAAAATAAGCAGATAAGAATTAATTTAAAAGGTTCAGTTTTCTGTACAGCTCCTTCCAGGTGTGGGGCATGAACTGGCTGAGGATGGCTGCAGCATTGCTCCCCTCTGCAGAGCAGTTAAATCTCCTCACCCTACTGATCCACTGGGTTCCACCAGCACTGAAAAATTATCTGAAGGCATCCCTCCCTGCCCTTGCCTGCACTGTCTGTGCCTGAGCAAGCAGATGTGGGAGACAGCCAGGGCAAGGTCATCAGAGTGGGGTCTGGGGGCTCACTCAGGCAGGGAGGAGGGCTGGAAGCAGGATACCCACCCTCAGTGCATCCCCACACGTTGGGAAGGATGAAAGTTTGACAAGAAAGTCTCACAGATCTGTGTGCTCGGCAGAAAGATTTTTAAATGTAGAGTCTGGTGAAGGAATAGAGATGGAAGCAAGTTATGATATAGAAGAAAAGAATTGCTGAGCCAGTCTTACTGGATAACCAAGGAGGCAAAGGGTGTGTTTGTTAGAAGGGGTTTTTATGGCTTAGAGCAAAGGATAAACCCACCCCAAACAAGAGGATGTTTTTACCAAGCAGGAAGAGAGCACAGGCAAGCAAGCCTGCCAATGTGGCAAGTAGAAAAAAGGTCTCAGAATTTTCCACTGCAAGCAAACTGAACAACAACTTCCAGCTTAATCTGTAAGGTACGAAATTTAGTGATTGGAGAGCAGTAACACGAATATGGTAATTACAGTAGTTATGATAGGCCATAGGTAAAAGTTAAGGTATGGATTGGTTCTACCGTATTAAGATGCTCAGCAAAGTCTATAATGCATTGTAACCAAAACCAAAGGGTCTCCAGGCCTGCCTGCAGCTGGAGCTGACAGCTGTGGGCACAACTCTGTCACCCACCACCCTGGCCTGCTGTGACCTCTTGGATACAATAAACTGCGTTTTGGAGAGCCCCTGGAGCCCCACATCCCTCATTTCAGCTCTTACACCCACAGCCCCAGCGCCCCTGCCCCAGAGCAGCAGCTCAGGGCTGGAGGCTCCCTGTCACCTTCTCCTTGCTGTGACACAAGGGGCTGAGGCTGTCCTGCCCCCAGCTGGGGACATCCATGCCAGGCTGGGGGCTCTGCAGCACGAGCCAGCTGTTGTGGGGACAGCAGGTGACTTGGGCTGTGTGCTGTGGGACACCTGAGGAGCGGCTGATTGCTGTGGCAGGGCCCCAGTACCCGGATAACGCGTTCCACAGGCAGCTCAGCCAGGAGCCAGTGAATCAGGGGGCACTGGGAGAGCCCTGGGTGCTGTCTGGACTTCAGGAGAAGCTGTCACTGAGCAAGGTGACCCTCCAGGAATGCTCTGGGCCCTTGACATCAGAACAAACTGGTGACGCCCAGCCTCAGTGGGATTGTTCACAGAATTCACAGAATTCACAGAATCCCCAGGTTGGAAGAGACCTTCAAGACCACCCAGTCCAACCCAGCCCCAGCACCTCAACCAAACCCTGGCATTCAGTGCTGCATCCAGGCTTTGTTAAACCCATCCAGGGATGGGGACTCCACCACCTCCTCAGACAGGCCATTCCAGAACTTTATAATTCTCTCTGTGAAAAGCTTTTTCCTAATATCCAACCTACATTTCCCTTGGCATGGCTTGAGACTGTGTCCCCTGGTTCTGTCAGTTTTAAGTTCATGTCTTTTACTGTTCTGTCACCAAACAGGAAGGGCTCAGCCGAGGTCCCTGTCCATGGGCTGAGGGGCAGATTGGTAATTATTGCTGTTAATCATGTTTTAGTCCTGAGTGGAGGGGCAGATTGGTAATTATTGCTGTTAATCAAGTTTTAGTCCTGAATGGAGGGGAGGTGATCGACACCTAAAGGAAGGGGCCACCAGGTTTGGTTGTTGGGCTCTCATTCCTGCATCTCAGGCTGTTGATACATAAAAATTATTGGCCCCCTGGCATTTTGAGGCAGAAGAAGGCTCTCTGTGCTGCCAGTAAGAGGTTAACCCAGCAGGCAGAAGGCCAGGGAGCCGCAGCAGTGCTCGGGTGGCTCGGGCAGTGCTGCTGCTGGCAGCGGGGCCGTGCTGCTGCCCATGTCTCACAGCAGCGTGTCTTTGGCAGGTACCACATCAGCCTCTCCTCCGACCTGGACTGGAGGCACGACAAGCACCACGACATGGACGAGGTGCAGCGGGACCCGCGGGCGGGCTCGGAGCCCGCGGCGGAGGAGGCGCAGGTGGACCCGAGGAAATACTCGCAGAGCAGCTCGGAGCGCTTCCTGGAGCTCTCCCACTCCTCCATGGACCGGGTGTTTGATGCCGACTGCGGGAAGTCGTGTGATTACAAGGTGGGATCGCCCTCCTACCTGGACAAGCTGCTGTGGAGGGACAGCAAGCCCCACCACTACTCAGAGCCCAAGCTCATCCTGGATTTATCCCACTGGAAAAGGGCCACCATAGCGCCCGCGGCTGAGCTGTCGCTGGAAGAGGAGCCCTCCAACCTGTTCCTGGAGATCGCGCAGTGGGTGAAGAGCACGCAGGCGGGGCTGGAGTGCCCCGGCTCCCTGCCGGAGATGCAGGAGCGGAGCCTGCCCTCCTCTCCTCACCGCCTGCACAAGGAGCCCGCCGCCGTCAGCGGCGACACCGACCCCGACTTCGACCTGGACGTCTTCATCTCCAGGGCGCTGAAGCTTTGCACAAAGCCCGAGGACCTGCCCGACAACAAGCTCAACGAGATCAACGGGGCGTGCATCTCGGAGCACCCCGGGGACATGGTGCAGGCAGAGGTGTTCCAGAAGGAGCGGTGGTGAGGGCCCCAGCCCCGCCGCGTCCCCTGCCCACGCTGTACCAAACGCCTTTGCCAGGAAAGGCAAGCACAAACCACACGCCCCCCTGGATGCCTTAGAAGTGCTTCTAAGGGGATTGAGAGGTGCGAGTGAAATACTGAGTTCCTTACACTGCCTTAACAATCTTGCCTTGCGATCTCTGGGACCTGTTTGAAACTTAAATGTACGAGGGGGAAAACGACGGTACATGGTAGGTTTGCAAACAGTAGTCAAATAGACTTCTTTTCCTCTCTTTTTCTATGGCAACTTGAAAGGACAAGGACAAAAATTAACATTTTCAGTGTGGTCACATACCCTCCTGGTTGGACAGGTTCCCAAAATGCCGAACTTTGAGTCTCTCTGAGGGCGCCTCTGTGAGCACAGGTATGGAATAAAGTGATGCCAGCCATCAGTCAGCACTGAATGGAACTACAGGTAGAGTTTGGCCATCAGACGAAAAACAAAAAACTCTCTGAGAGTGTTAATGGACAAGAAATTTGACCTACAAAGTATGGGCCATTGGGGATTTGTTTTATTTTTTTTCTGAGGAGAAGACAAAATTTTTGCTAAGTGCATTTTGCTGGTTTGTGGTTTCTCACACCAAAATCTCCCCTGTGGCTGCACGGGGTGCAGCAGGGGATGCACGGGGATCTGAGCTTTCCGAGCACTCGGGAGGGCCCACGGGGTGCACCCTGGTGAGTCCTGCCCTGGAGAGCTGCCACGAGACCAGCAGAATCGGGGCAGGGAGGGCTGGGAGCGGCGTGTCCCACGGGGTGACACAGCCACACGGAGCAGCAAGGGCTCCCAGCCACTCTGCTGTGCAAAAGGAACCACAGCACCACGGGCTGTCCTCCTGACAAAGATCTTGTGAAGAAAACAACAGTTCCTGTGGCTTGCGATTCGTGACCGGCCACTTGGCTGCCAGCTTCTGTGGGACAGGCTGGTGCCAGCAGGCAACTGTGTGTACATAGATGAGGACACAGCTGATCTACTGTACCTTCTGTTTTCATCCACACTTCTGAGCACCTTAATGATTAATCAGCTAACAAGAGTTTGTATATGGAAGAAATGTTCTATACTTATATTTAACCCAGCTCGGCAGCTTTTTAAATGGAGATGTGTAAATAGTGCCACACAAGACAGCCTCTGCTTTCCTCAGCATCCTGCTGCTCTGCTGCCCGGCACAGCAGCCCTGCTCACATCTGTACAACAGAAACTGCTGTATTTAGTACTGCCAGCCCCATATTTAACTACTCCCATATTCATTGTTTCCACCCTTTTAACAAGCAATCCGCGAAATGCTCTGAGATGTGACAAAGCTGGTGTGAGGCTCAGATAACTAACAGCAGTGTTTACTGTATTAGCCCTGGGGTCTGTCCTTGCTGGGACCAGGAGCAGGTTTAGCTGCAGCAGGCCTTGACAAGCCCAAAATCGTGTTCCTACTGTGGAGATCTCACACTGGGGTGATGGAAATACCACTGCTGCAGCCAGTCAGCAGCACTGGTGTGAAGGCAGCCAGCTGCCAGGATGGGATGGGCTGCCAGCCCGGGTGCAGGGGGGGGGAAGGCATTTGGAAGGTGAAGCTGAGGGAGAAGGGCTCAGAAGGGCAAAGCCATTCATCTCTGCCTTTGCTTTGGGTGTTTGGACATCCCCCAGAGTGGTTTAGAAAGGGGAAGGAGGACAGAGACAGAGGTTTGGTTTCTGGTGTGTTGCAGATGATTGATATACCTCAACTAAAGCTCAGCACTTTCGCTGCTGGTGGGGGGACATTCCAACGCCAGGAGCAGCCGCCCCCAAGCTGGAGCAGATCCAACCAGCCTGGCAGTCCACGGCTGGCTGACCACAGCTGGCTGACCACGGCTGGCTGACCACAGCTGGCTGACCATGGCTGGGTGACCACGGCTGGGTGACCACAGTCCCACTGCCCACGGTCCTGCTCCCCACAGTCCCACTGCCCCCAGTCCCACTGCCCACAGCCCTGCTCCCCATGTCCTACTGCCCATGGTCCCATTGCCTACAGTCCCATTCCCCATATCCCACTGCCCATATCCCAGGGCCCATGTCCCACTGCCCTTGGTCCCGCTGGGCCCTGTGGCACTGCACTGGCAGCAGCCAGCAGAGTTTGGAGCTGGCCTGCAGGGCTCTGAGGTGTGTCGGGCTGGGCTGTGTCCCGGGGCTCTGGCCGGAGCCCATCCCGGCTGGAGAGGCACGGAGCTGCAGCCAGCTGGGCTCAGCACCCGGGGCCAGCAGAGCCAGGCCCGCAGGAGGAGAGCAGCGCGGTGACCCTGGAAACTCCTCTGGAGATGCAGCAGCCCGTGCTGCCGTGGGGTCTCTGAGCACGAGAACTCGGCCCGCACAAACCGCGCTCTCCCGGCCGGGCAGCGGTGGCCGTGTCCCCTGGAACCAGATGCCATTTCCCATGGGCTGTCGCTTCTTCTCCAGAGGCCTGCAGGACTGTTTATTGTGGCCATGAAAGAAACAGTTTTGCTTTCAAGTATTGTCTTGTGGGCCCACAATTAAGGTGTAAAACGGACTCGATAGCAAGCAAACAGAGCGTGTTGCTGCCACTCTGGATTTTCCATCTCGCTTTGTGAGCTCTTATTTAATGTTGTTCTAAAACCTCAGCATCACATGCTGGGAAAAGGGGATAAGAGGGATGGCTTTAATTTGTTACCTGAGTGTGCTTAGCTGATCACAAGCCAGATCTGTCTCTCATTTGCAGAAATAAAATGTAAGGCCTGAGCCTTCCTTGTGTGGCAGTGTGTAATTATTTTATAAATTATTATTATTTTTATTCTGAAATGTTTACTCCAGTACTGAAGTAAAAATCCACAGAATTCTGCAAATCATAGGATTCACTCAGATTGGAAAAGTGAGTGACCATGCTTAAGAGTGACCACGAAGACCTGCACCACAGGAATATTTGCATTCTTGGTGTTGGGCTGCTTCTCACCCAGCTTTGCTTTGGCAGGTTCAGGCTGTGTGAGCACTCAGGGTCACAGGGAGGGAATTTGGGCTTGGTCACCATCTGTGTCTCATGCAGTTTGAAGAATCATTTCTTGATGGGTGCAAGATCACCCACTGGGTATTTCAGTAAATTTGCAGAGGGCATTCATTGAAAGACACACAAAGCTGTTGCTGGTGACGCTGTGGTGGCCCCTAAGCCCACATGGTCCTGGATGGGTGACACCCTGGGCTCAGAGATGTGGGCCCCAGCTGTTCTGGGTTTAAATTAAAGAGCAACAGGGGGAGCGGAAAATCCCTCCCTGAAACTGCAGGAGCTGCTCCTGGTGGCCTCTCACCAGGATCTGCTCCTCTGCCCGCTGGCCATGGGCTGGAGCCTGGGAGCCCGTCAGGAATGTGATTTAAAAACCCCCTTAAACGTCAGAGGGATGCCTCCAATGTTCTGTGCTGCCCCAGTGATCTGTGACTATTTTTGCTGCAGTTTATTTTTAATTGTGCTGGGACTCAGCAGCTGTTACACCGTCACAGAGCTGCACTAGCCAGGCCTTCAGAGCTTCACCATGGCAGTGACAAAAATACCCACTTCAGCTGCCTTTTAACAGGGGCTTTGGGGACATTCTGGGAGCTCTGTCCTGTGCAAATCCCTCCCAGATCCCAGAGCAAAACCACAACATAGTGCATTTTACAAGTGGGCTTTTTGGGGACTGGACTGCAAATGATCAATTCTGTCCCTTGGAGCAATTTCATGCCATCATCTACAGTTTTTGGGAGCTTGCAGTGAGAACTCTGTACAGTGTGGCATGCAGACATTTCAGCTCTGAAATGCTCTTTCTTTTTCAGCTGGTTCTAAGAGGAACTGAAGAGAACAAATACACCATATGGTGTTTGCTTGTGAACTGCTGCCTTTGACATTTTGAAAGGCAGAGTCTGGTCCTGTACAATATTCGGGTGAATGGAGTCCTCTCAAAGAGCATCTGCACTTTCTGAAGCTGTGCTCACCCCAGTATTTTAAACTGCCATCTAGGGAGTGGGGAAGCTGGTTTATAACAATCATATGGCTAAGTTCAGAGTAGGTTTTTATTTGTTAAAATAAAAATATTCTGCCTTAAAAAACACAGCCTTTTCACACACAGTCTTGTCTGCCTGGTCTTGGGTTGTGGCAGAATAAGGTGTAACAAAAGGGTCTCTGAATGGTTGCTTTCATTAATGTTGCAGTGAAAATTAGGTGTTTTAGGACGTTTATATGAATTTTTATGAAGTTTTGGAGAGAATATACCCAAGGCCATCTTTGATAGCCATCTTTGAGAATATACCCAAGGCCATCTGCACTATCAAAGATGGCCTTGGGTATATTCTCTCCAAAGCTTCATTAAAATTCCTGTTGACATACACAGGAATTAACTCTGAAAAACAGAGTTAATTCCTGCGTGTGTCAACGCTGCATGAAGTGTTTGTGTCCACCAGAGATTTCCAACCCCTGGGACATTCCTGCTCGTCCATCAGGCATTTCAGGAGGAAGAGGGGGCCAGAGGAACAGCCTGAACCTGGCCAGGCTGTGGCAAGGGCAGCTTCAGCACATAAACACACGTGTTCCGTGTGCACATAAACACATGTGTTCCATGTGCACATACACATAGGTACTTCGTGTGCACGTAAACACATGTGTTCCGTGTGCACATAGACACACGTGTTCCATGTGCACATAAACACACGTGCTTCGTGTGCACATATACACACACGTGTTCTGTGTGCACACAAACACACGTGTTCCGTGTGCACATAAACACACGTGCTTCGTGTGCACATATACACACACGTGTTCTGTGTGCACACAAACACACGTGTTCCATGTGCACATAAACACACGTGTTTCCTGTGTGCATAAACACACGTGTTCCGTGTGCACATAAACACACGTGTTCCATGTGCACATAAACACACGTGTTTCCTGTGTGCATAAACACACGTGTTCTGTGTGCACATAAACACACGTGTTCCATGTGCACATAAACACACGTGCTTCGTGTGCACATATACACACACGTGTTCTGTGTGCACACAAACACACGTGTTCCATGTGCACATAAACACACGTGTTTCCTGTG